GGGTACCCCTAAATCCTGATTGCCTGGAGGAGTTTGATTTTTTTTTTTTAAAGATTTTATTTATTTTATATAAGAACTGGGGTACAGGTCACAAGTGCGGGAGGGTGAGAGAATTCACCAGAGCCAGAGCAGGGAGCAGAACAGGCAGACAGACCAAGGACGCTGCTGGGGGGAGCAGCAGGCGAGGCAGGAGAGGTCTGCTGCACCATGTGGGGTTCTCCCTGGCCGGTGGGGAATTGAACCGGCGCTGCAGAGGCTGCTGCAGACAGCTTCGCAGTGCGGCGCTCAACCGCTGTGCCACCAGGGAGGCCCCTGGAGGAGTTTGATTTTCACCTGTTGTCCAAGTGCAAGAATTAATTTTGCCATTTTCACTCTCAGGTGCCCATGTTTGAATGATAAATTATATGGCCACATTAGTTATAGGTTAAAATTCAAATGAATCATTATTTACACGGAAATAGAATTTGCTTTAGGGTGTGTTGAGTGAGGTGATTCATCACACTCTCTTCTAATTGCTCTGTAGGCCTGACCAGTCTTAACAGGTGTGAGGAGGAAACATAGGAGCTCCTGAAGTTAACAAGAACACACCTGTCTCCAAAACCTAGGTCATTCATCCTGTATGTTTTACATTTAGCTTTTTTCAGTTCATCCTGGAGATCATTCTTGTCAAGACATACAGATCATTTTCGTTTGCTTGTTTTAACTCCTGCATAGTATTCTATAATTCAATAATTACTCCTCTATCAGGTGAATATTGATTTTTTAGTTTCCTATGGAAACAATGTGTCTGTAACTATTTTTGTACATGCTCTTTGTGTGGATGTGTGAGTAATTCTAGCATCTTGTTTAATAGCATCTTGTTACTAATACTATTTATTTATTTATTTATTTTTAAGATTTATTTTATTTATTTATACAAGCACCGGGTACAGTCAGAAGCACGGGAGGGTGAGAGAATTTATCAGAACCAGAGAGGAGAACAGAACAGGCAGACTGACGAAATACACTGCTGAGGGGAGCAGCGGGCGCCGCAGGAGAGGTCTGCATGCCGTGGAACCCTCGCTGGCGGCCGGGGATCAAACCGTCGCTGCAGAGGCTGCAGGCAGCTTCGCAGCCCAGCGCTCAACCGCTGCGCCACCAGGGGAGGCCCACTAATACTATTTATTTTATAAAGAGTATTTTAATAAATTCCCTTTCTAGTCACAATGGAGTCTTGTCTGTCAGCTTACAGAATCAGAAGGCAGGCTAGGGAAAGGGGTTCCAGGTTAAGTATGAAAAAACAATTCCCAGAACTTCACAGCTGAAATGGGCTTATAAGGTTGAGACCTCTGCGGGCCCAGACCATGAGGGCAAAGTGGCTGGACAGTGAAGAACAGAGGTGAGGTTGTCATCTTTGCCACTGATTGTGCCACAGAATAGAAACTGAATGCACAGTTTCCTGACATTGCTCACGCCTGAATTGAAGTCTAATTGGTTACATGCCTATATTCTACCTAGCTCCAAGGCAGACCAGAGAAGGCAGGACAAACAATATGGAAACTGATCAACATATTGGAAAGGGGTTCAGATGTGGTTAAGTTCACATAACAAAAGTCCACTGCAAGCAGTGGGGACTGTTTGCTTGAAGAATATATGTACTAATGGGCTTCCCTGGTGGCAAAAGGGTTAAGACACAACCTTTGAAGCTATCCACAGCCACTGCAGCACAAGTTCGATCCCCGGCCAGGGAGCTACCCACATGGCACAGCAGACCTCTCCTGACTCGCCCTCTGCTCCCCCCAGCAGTGCATTTCATTCAGTCTGCCTATTCTGTTCCCCACTGTCTCCAGTGAATCCTTTAACCCCCCACACCTCTGGCCTGTACCCCAGCTCTTGTATGCATGGCATAAATAAATCTTTTAAAATATATATATACCTTTATATTTTCACACACTACCAAACTCACTTCAACATAGACCAGTTTGCAGAGCTGCCTACAGCTTATAATTCCCTAAATCTTTACTGGCAATGGATAATATAATTTCTTTAATATATTTGACAATTTTTGACAACCTGATAGTGATTTTAAAAAAGTCCTACTTTATCTAAATTTATTTATTTAAATTAGTTTTTTCTTGAATTTGGTTAGATTAGCACATTTTTCTTATGCTTTTTAGCATAATTTGTTCATCTCTGAGACAGCCATTTTTATTCTCTGCCAATTTTTTGTCGTTGGCTTCCTTTTTATTTGGTTGTCTGTTCATATTTAAACATGTCTATAGATTCTCAGCAGCATTTTTTTGGTCTGTTACATATGTTTAAAATATTCTTCATAGTGTCCCTTTCTTTTTTCCTTGTGTCTTTTAGTTATAGGAAGTCTAAATCGAAAGTCTAATTTTTCAGTGTTTTTTTCCTTCCTCAAGAAAGCTTTTTGTGTCTCCTGTTATAAAATATCTCCCTTTATTCCCGTCAAGCAACTTTTATGGTCTTATTATTCATGTCTAATTTTTCAATCTGGCTATAATTCTTTGTTTCTGTGTTGTGTGGGTTTCTTCCCAGCCATCTCCCCGCCCCCCCGCAGAAATGGAGAGCCACTTATTTCTCATATTAACTGAAGAGCCGAGCTTTACATGGGCAGTAAGTCCTCACATAACATTGGTAATAATATTTCACACGAAATGACATAGGAGAGCAGTCTTTGAACAACATTGTTTAGCTCCGTGTTGGTTGGGATTTTCTTTCAGCAACATGATAGGCAAAGATTAACCAAACATTGTTCAAGGACCTGCTGTATTTGACACTCACACTACATATTCCTGTTTCTGGAGTCTTTATTACATTACACTATGGATTTAGGGACCTCTGGTCCTGACTTTTTCTTACATCACAATTCTAATTATTGAGTATTTATAATGTGTATGAAAAACTGGTAGAGCAATATAGTTCTCATTTTTTTCTTCTAGAAAAATTGACTTAGGTTCTTCTCTCTATATTTTTTTCCAGATATGATTTAAAATGGGTTTGCTGAATTCCATTAAAATCATGTTAAGAATTTTTTGATCCAGAGTGTCTTCAATTTAAATAGGATTCTGTAAAGGTAGATATGTTATCCAGAAGATATGTTGAAGGAGTTATTATACTGGGAGAATTTCATTTATTATTAGAGATTTACTAAACAGTTCAGAATGGGGCAAATAGGACTTGAAGGAGCAGTGAGACAGAGTTTTCTGGATTTCTTCATCATTTACCACAACTGTATTCAAAAACGGTGATAGTAAAAAATAGAAAGGTAGAACAAAAATAATAGGAAAGAGTCCAGAAATGAGAGATACAAGAAGGATTAGAAACACTTAGGCATGCTTGGGAAATTTTTCTTAAGTTCCACTCTGGCCTGCACCCTGACAGGTAAGCCCCAGCCAGGGTTGTGCAGACCCATCGGCCTCTCCCCACCCAGGGAAGCCTGGGGTAGAGACAGCGGTAATACATGCCCACACCCCTTGGGAGGACTGAGGACAATTGCACGGTTATACTTATACCAACAGGGTCTCCTTGTGCCTGCCGTCTATTCATTTCCTTGTCTGGATTTCTGCGGAAAAGCCAGTGAGCCCACATGACAGAAGCAGAGGCCTGACTTCAGATAGGGACCAACTGAAGTCCCTGTCCCATGCTGACCAGCCCTGAGTCTTTGGGCAAACAAATCCACTGGGGTCTTAATTATGGCAACTTCTGGAAAGCCAACAGGGCATACCTTATGTAGGTAGAGTAAAAATGATGCACAGAGAGACCATTTTAAATAGGGCAGTGGAGTTTATGTTGCAGGTGAAGCAGGAAGAGAGTGGACCTGCTGCTTACATGGCTCAGACTTTGGACAGCGCTGCCTCCAGGAGAGTCCACTGAGCAGCTGGACTTTGCATTTAGAAGAGAGAGGAAAGGCAATCTCTGGAAGCAAACCAAGACTTTCTTAAACATCAGCTGTGCAGACAACAATGTTATATTCTTCTGGAATATGCAGAACCAATTAGGTAACTAGGAATCTAGGATATGGAAAATTCCCACTCTTAAGGAACCTGCTTTTAGCTGGTGGAGCAAAATCTCTCACAGGAAACAACATGGGAACAGGACAGAGGTTGATGAAGCAGCAGCACTGGCAACATAACAGCAGATTCACATCAGTCACTGAAGTGTCCCAAATAAAAGGAAAACAATGAGAATTTTCTGGAAAAGTTCTTGGGGGATGCTGTCATGCAGAAGATTTAAAACTGGGTATAAATTGACTTGCTGGAGTAAAAATGTGCAGGCGAAGACTTTTTCTAAATTACAGAGTATTATTTGGCAGCGGCACAAGAGGAGCTAGTAAATTGGTGGTGGGGCTGGTGGTAAATAAAGAAGCAGCTAAGTACTTTGTTTTGTCTGAATTAGAGGTCAGGAATGAGAAATATGGTGACGTTAATGAAAATTTGATTTAAGGAGACTTGAAAAAAATCTGTGATATGAAAGCACTAATTTTCGCTCTATGTGAAAAATTTGAAACAGTGCTAATCTACCCTAATTAAAAAATAGATGAGATTCTTAGCATTTCAACTTGGTTATTGGATAAGTGAATTGTGCCACATCTGCTTATGCTATTTTCAACATGGTAGTGTCACTTTGCTGGGCACCCAGAAATACCCACCACTGCAGTTTTGATTTGTGAGGAGTCTTTATTTCTCCATAAAAGCCCAGAGAAGCAGCTGGTGACAGCATGGCCTTCATTCCTGCTATGGTCTCCCTCTGTGCTTCTCTTCCCAACATGGTTCTTTCTTCCATTATTCATGTCACTGTCCCACTTGCTTATCCACAGAGTCCTGTCAGTGCCCGGTTTCCAGGTCCTTCACTCCCTTTCTCCTCAGCAACTACAGGCACCATCCTGTCCATAAATTTCACTCGGGACCAAAGAGGGTGCAAAGCCCTGGTGGGAGAGAACCCCCAGGGAGGAAGGCGGGGTGGACCATGCCCCAAGAACCCTAGGCCCTGTCTCAGCACTAGCTCTTTGAAAGAACGGGCACATGCTCATCCTTCTCTGGCGGCTCCACCTGCTGCAGCAACATATAGAGGGATCCTCCAGCACTCATGGAACATGGGGCATCTCGGGATCTTGTCAGCTTCGAGCTGGGTCTATAGCAATGATGCCAAAAGGAAGAGGCACCATAGATGCCCAGCAGGCACAGGGCGTTGATCACCACATGCCAGCAGAAGAAGGTGGTGACAAACATGACATCCCTGATGTCATCATCCTGCCACGGGTAGCCAGAGACCGGCCGAAACAGAATGAAGCCAGCTTGCATCAGCCAGGAGCCCATCATCAGGAATAGAAAGTTCTCGATGAGTGAGAGGTGAAAGGTCTCGGGAGCCCACAGCCCTGCAGTCAGCACGAGCATCAGCAGGAACACCACCAGGATGAGCAGCGTGTGCACCTGCAGCTCCACCTCCGCAGAGCCTTGGCTATGGGACACCAGCAGGAGCAGGAGCATGTAGAAGTTCAGGACCTGACTTGCTTTTTCTAGGACCACACACCTCTGACGCAGTAGGTTCTTGCTTATGATGTCTGCACAGCCATTGAGAGTGAGGAGGAGGAACATGGTGAGGTGCTGCCACTCTTGGGGGTACATAAATCTTGGTGGTGTCTCCTTGCTCAGTAGCACCATCCCATCATCAATGCAGAAGACCACATACACCGCTAAGATGGAGCCAGTCACCACCTTCAATAAACCTCTATGGGATATTTTCCACAGCCAGGCCCATCTTCCCTTATTCTTGGGAGGGCATGAAGGATACAGGAGAGAGTCCCTGACCATCATGCCATGAAAGACCACCATTGCCTGACAGAGTCCATAGCAGAAAAGATAGAGCCCCGGGTAGAAGTGACCATTGAATTTTTTCATGAAATGCAGTTCTGTCTGACCAAGAAGTGAAGAACAAAGCTCAGTCTGCTCTCTTCTCCCTTGAGGGCTTCTCAGTTCTTGGGTACACCAAGAGGGGTATCTTCTACCTACTTTTATCACCCACCTCTGCCCACTGCATTCTGACAGAATGGAAAGTTCTAGACAGGAGCCTACGCTTTGGGTATGGAAGGTCTCATTGTTCCATTCTTTTCTAGTACATGGGGAGCCAGCAGATGACTGCCAAAGAAAGAGGATGCATATTTCCAACCACACACCTGTGAGAATGTGTGCCCTCGTGAACTTTCTCCCGCTTCCGGCCATTACTCAGGGGAGCAGTACAGAGGGGCTAGAGCATGGCATTTATCCAGAAAAGGCAGGGGTTCCTCGCATACACCTGTGCATCCTTTAAGACTCCTTCCTCATATCTTTGGTCAGGTATCAAAGACAAGTACATTTTTCCTGAACATACAACTTTATGTTCAGGAAGAATATAAACATTCTCTCTACTGGGTGGTTGATGAACCTGGAAAATCACCCTTTGAGATCAATTTTGGAATGTGAGATGTAATTTGTTATTGAAATGAAGATATGTTGAGACAAGAAGCTCAGTGAGCCCCTAATATTTAATGTGAATTAACTTGTTCTCTCCTTAATTATCACTGACTACATATCCAATACATGTAGTCCTAAGCATGTAGTCCAACTCATGTAGGTGAGAGTCAGCTGCTCATGAGGGACAATATCCAGGCAAAATTCTTTGTTTAGAGGGGATTGTGGCAAGCAAGGTATAGGGAATATGAGGCATGCCCCAAGCACACTGATAGTCCTGGGCTCATTGCAGAAGATCCTCCATGGAAGAGGAACTTCTCAGGGTGGGGGTGGAGGGTGTCAGAGGTCCTGAGGGGAGTGGAAGCTTATCACTCAACACAAACTATGCTGTCTTCTGCATCACAGTCTTCTGCATAATCATTCGTCCTCCAGTTACAAGTAATCTTTTGGGGGCAAAGAGACAATAGCTGTTTTCTGCTAGTGCCCCCAGAGGAGAGGAGGAGAATTTACACCCGTGTCACAGCACTGCTTCTGAGTCTTCACTCTATTCAAGTATCTCTGTTTCCTATGCCTAGTTAACATCAGAAAAATCTACACTGTTCATGCTCTTGAGGATGGTGGCCATATCTTGTCAGTGGGAGGACGGAGATCTGAGTGGGAAATGTAGGAGGGATCGCTTAAGGTTGCTGTACAGGGCAACTAAGCTTCCTTATACCATTTTTAACTTCAACTTTATTTTTTGATGGAGGCGGGTTATAGACTGGCTAGAAATTCTCCATATGTGTTTTTGTTTCTTCCCGTGTATGCTGATAAACTACTTTTCCCATCTTGCCTTGCAGTTAGATGTGTCTTCGTAACAGAGTTGTAGCCTATGGAATATGAATAGAATTGATACATGTTACCTTCTAATCTCACCCACAATATCCTCCCTTACATATGCTTCCAAATTACTTTTTATTTCCTTTTGTTTTGTGCACACTATCACAAGTTATTAAAGTCATGCTGTTGAGATGGAGGAACTCCATGACGGAAGGTAAAGATTTCCTGGATTACTCTTTCTAGGAAGCCTATACACTGTTCAAGAACACTCATTTCACATTATTGTGAGCAAGAATAAACTTTTTATAAGCAATAGAAATGTTCACATTTGTTTTTTTATAGCAGCTAATTTACACAAGCTAATTTAAAACTGAGGTATATAGAAAACCTTGGAAAAAATCCATAAGCAAAAAGTGAGAGAAAAATAAGCACCTGCAATTACAAACCTGTGATAATTGCTGCTAGCATGCCCCTGTGGAACCCCAGCTTTAGCAAACCCCAGCTTTAGTACATTTGTGAAATGGAAAAAAAAAAAAAAACAACTGAAAATTGAAAGACCAGGATTCATCTTAATTTCCCCTAGATTAGCAGGACTTTACATTTCCTGTCAGAGAAGGACAAAGGTGAGGAGGGAAGAGGGGGTACAGTAGAGAGGGGAAGAGAAGGGAGGGTAGAGAGAAAGGAGGGAAAAGGCAAGGAGGAAAACATGAGGGCTGTTGCATAGAAGGAAGAGATTTTATTACCTCACAATTTTTCCTTTTTAGCTACAAGTTAAAGCACCCAGAAAACTTCAAAGAACTGAATGTTCAGGGGGTAAAGGTACAAAGTGAAGTGGAGAATGTGCCACTGTGAGAGTGAGCCAGACAGGAGAAACTTCTGGGACACTCCTTGTTCTTGTCTTTGCTCTGGAAATCATTGAGCTGCCCCGAAAGGGAAGCAGCCTGTGATGAAGCAGAGTCTGTTGTTCCAGTAAGTGTTTAATCAACAAAGAGCCAGTGCATGTTTCTGAGTAGACCATTTCTACCTAGGATGGAATGCAGGTGTCAGAAAAGTTTCTTTTTACTCATTAATAAGGTTATTTCCAGCACTCAGAGCTGTGGGTCTAAAGGAGATAGTGGGCATTGATGGACAAACAAGTACCATTCACCTCCTGACACCACATTTATCTTCACCTCTTGGTCATTCTTTGCAGCTGTGAGCCAGTGGTCAGAGGAAGTGAAAAAACAGCAGCTCTGACCCAACAGCAATTGTGAGGTTGGAAGTGGGCTATCTGAAGACAAGGAATCCCTCTTAAGTCCCACCTGGGATGGTCACACCTCCACCTTGGCCAGGCACCAAGGCTACAGGTTGTTCATTAAAACATGAACATCCTGTCTCAGGACTTTGAAATCTGAGAGGAATTTGAGAGGAAATGTCCATCAGAAACCAGACACTGCCCACAGGTAGCTGTGGAGGAAGCCAAAGGTGGTGAATGATTAGCTGACCTGGCAGACAGCACCAGAGTCTGTGGACCCTGATTACCTGGAAAGATGTTTCATGAAAGCAACTGAGCTTGACCATGGGAGCCCATGGAACCCCTTCATGGCATGGCTGCCATGAAGACCCCTAGACCCCTACATTCTTAGGGAGCCCCTGACAGCTTCTGCCACTTGTCTGGAGAAAATGCCAAAGTGAATTTTCAAGAAAGTCTTCAAGAATCTGTCAGCATGAGTTTACTGATTATGGTGAGATAACCATGTCCTTGCAAAGCTTGCAATGTAGTTAAAAGTGCAGTACACACACACACACACACACACACACACACACTATCCATTAATTACAGAATTATTTAAAATTGGAAAATGCCATTTAGAAGATTTCAATGACAGGAGTCATTCATGGGAAATGTTAGTGAGAATCATCCTTAGTACATGCCCTAAAACTCTGCCAAGAAGTCAGAGAAGGTTTTAGGGTCAGAGCCTTTCAAAAGCTTTTCTACCAACTTTAAAGAATCCTTCATTTGTTAGAATTGTGGGACAGATCTGGATGGCTAGTGCTGTTTTGTGTGGGTTGTAGAGTGGCAGGGCCAATTAAATGTGTCTCGGGCGGTTGCTAATGCTAAGACAGGCTGCTGGAGGAAGGAATGGTCTTCAGATTTGGCATGAGAACTTTGACCTCCTCAAGTCCATAGATCACCCCCTCCTTATGGAAGATACCTATCTTTCCACCTGAAAGAGATTCTTCTTCTGCCTAGGTACATTGCAGTGACTATGCCAGGGAGAGTTCCATTAAAGAGGATGCAGGTCCTTTCATTAGTCACTCCTGCCACTCTTATTACCTCCATGTCCAAAAGTAGATCCCAATATAGGCCAGACAAACACACAGACAATCTGGAAATCAATTTAGCTAAAGAATTGTAAGACCTCAACAATCAGTATTTTTAAGAGCTTGGGGAGCATGGGTGTGAATGAATTCTAAAGGTGTTTTTGAAGTGTTCATTAAGCCATATATAGCAATATGAATGCACTTTCCTAGGTTTAACATGTGGCTTGAGCATCTGGGAATGGTGGAGATAGGTTGCTTGGTTGGCAGGTTGAAAGCAGAACTCAGTGGTGGCCAACAGTCAGTGAAGACAACTTATTGGAAACTCCCTGGCGAAGTTCCAAAAGAGCAGTGCAATATAGAACTTTCTGCAAAGATGGGAACTTTCTCTGATATGTGCTATCCAATAAATTCTAACCATCTATGGCTATTGAGCATTTGAAATATGGCTACTGCAATGACAGTGTTGATTTTTTTATTTTAGTGAATTTAAATGTAGCCAGACCCATATGGCTAGTGACAGATGTCTTGAATGGGACAGCTCTAGTGGAAGGAGGCTGAAGGCTCAGTAGAAAGGCAAGAACACTTCTTTTTTTATGAATATACTCTGGCTCCATCTCACAGATTCTGATATATGGAATACTCTCATTATCATTTGCTTTTGAATAATTTGTCCATTTCTAGTTTTATTACCTTTTTAACCCAAAAGTTATCTAGAAGAGCTCCTGTTAATTTTCAAATAAATGGTACCCTGTTTTCTTTTATTATCCGTTGTCTGTAAACAAAAGCCATCAGTTACTTGAACAATAAAATGGGTTTATTTGGGGGCCTCCCCTGGTGGCGCAGCGGTTGAGCACTTGGCTGTGCAACATCTGCAGCACCGGTTTGATCCCCCACTGCCGGGGAGGGTCCCACATGGCGTGCAGACCTCTCCTGCCATGCCCGCTGCTCCCCTCAGCAGTGCATTTCGTCCATCTGCCTGTTCTGCTCCCCGCTCTGGCTCTGGTAAATTATCTCACCCTCCCATGCTTCTGACTATATCCAGTGCTTGTATAAATAAATAAATAAATCTTTTAAAAAAATGGGTTTATTTGGAAACCAACAATAGAAAAGGATAGATTGAAAAATGTGTTCCTGGCAAAACTCATGTCCTTTTCCCCAAATCCAAGGTTAACAGCCCCCTGTATAGCCTTTGGTGGCCCTTCTCTCATTCCTTCTGGAGGGGGAAGCAGCATGATTCCTCATGTAAGATGCAGAGCATGTCCTGTAGCTTTCTGATTGACACAAGTGTGAGGTGGGGTTTCTGTATAGTAATGTTCACATACCACTTT